TTGGTTTAAAAAGGCCATTCCAGAGAACTGACAGCCGTTTTTGCACCTTTTCCAAATATGAAAAGAGGGTGGCTGTTGGCAACCTTATTCCAGAGAATAAAGTCTGAAATCTTTGTCCAAATCACCTGAAATTTGGGGAGTCTTTAGAAGAAGGGGTGGACTATTTTACCTGATATTTGATATAATTTGGAGAAAAAATCCATTTAGGAATATTTGACATGGAAAACAATGGGCAGACATCCAAACTGATCTTAATGGAAATGGAACCTGAATGAGTCTTCATGATGTAACAGCAACATTTTTGAGAATTCTTAAAACCGATAAAATGTTCAATTCCTTAAATTATAGCATTGAAATGCTTTTTCCAGTGAATACCTCTAATATACATGTGTACTGCTTTTCTTTACAATTCTATTAGCAAATAAATATATAATGGCTTGGACCCTGTACCTTGCCTCCCCTTGGACAGAATTATGCTCCGTAGCAGATTTATGCTCCATTCTTATATGGACTGCATTCCACTGTCATTAAGTGTTTCCACTCATGTAAGTCCAGTGTCTTTCAATAAGCACTGAAAGTGCATAGCATCAGAGGACAGCACTCTGCAGTGAAGGATCACCTTTGCAGCAGGCTAAAAGCATTGCAAGTAGAAGGAAAGGGTAAGATACAAGTCTGTGTTGTCTAAATTCCCATGGCTGACAGTGTATTGTTTACGTTTTACAGAAATACTTGCATCTTTGTCTACAGACTGTTCAGGTCATTGCTGTGGAAATGATCTGTAAATCTTTTTTTTCTAGTTCACTGAATATCTGAACCATTATAGTTGCAAAATGTTATATGGGAGCATTGGGGGGTGTATTTACTAATTAAACAGCAGTTTCCAAACAAGTGTTCTGAAAATCTGCATTTGGGGTGCCCTTAAAAAAGCAGAGGTCAGCATGAATACTGCCCATATGCTATATGCAGTTTTTTTCTTTTGAAAGAGTATATTAGCTGTGTATGCAAATACAATAATTATGAACAAAAATAAGCACAATTTAACAAATTCTTTAAAAGGCAATGATGTAAAATATTTAGCAAGGTTAAAGAAAATACATTGTGCTCTTTCTTGTTTTTTCTAGATGATGAAAAACTTAGCAGTTGTTTACAATCACCTTAATTATCTTTAGAGGTTTTTTGCTTTTGAGAAATATAGTATTTAGCTATGGGGATGGCAAAACAACTAGCAGTCTTCCTACATACAGTTAATATCCACCTAGAGATAAATTTGTTAAGTGTGAAATATCATGCAAGTGTGTGTTAAGGCTGCTGTGGTATAGCGGACTAGTATCAGACTAGGATCTGAGAGACCCAGGTTCAAATCCCTACTCTGCCGTGGAAGCTTATGGGATGACCTTGGGTCAGTCACACACACTCAGCCTAACCTACCTCACAGGGTGTTTGTGAGGATAAAATGGAGAGCAGGAGAATGTTGTAAACCAGTTTGGGTCCCCATTGAGGAGAAAAATGGCATATAAATGAAGGAAATAAATAATAACCATATTGGGAAGCCAGTAACAAAATATTTGTGCTATACATAACATGAGCTTGTACTAGGGGTGTGTGCTTGGTATATACAGAGCCAAATAAATACCTGAAAAATATTTATTCAGCAGAATATTTATTTGGGTATTTATCGCACAATTGCACTCATATCACACGCTAGCAAGGTCATGCTCAAGATCCTACAAGCGAGGCTTCAACAGTACATGGATAGAGAACTGCCAGAAGTACAAGCTGGGTTTCGAAGAGGTAGAGGAACTAGAGATCAAATTGCCAACATTCGCTGGATTATGGAGAAAGCAAGAGAGTACCAG